TCGCCCTGCTAGGCCTCGAAGCACCAGGGCATGAGGGAAGACATCACCTCAGCATGTCCCATCCCAGCCCCGCCTCAGCGCCCAGGTGTCCAAATCGGCGGAGGGTCGATCCGCATCCTTCTTCCTCTAGTTCTGCCATGCGGCACTTCGTGGTCGTGGCAAGGCGGGAGCCGTTAGTGTCTTAAAAATGACACTGCCGCGTTTAAAACGCTGGAAGCGGCGTGTCAGTAAAGGGTGAGGTGTTATTCTATGAAGCGCATCAGGGAGCGTTTGAGGACCTCTAACAGTAGAAGTCCAAACATCTCCCACCTGGAGTACCGCGTCCAGCTCTGGGGTCCCCAGCGCAGGAAAGACACAGGCCTGTTGGAGCGGGTCCAGAGGAGGGCCACGAAAATGGTCAGGGGATGAAACGCCTCTCCTCTGAGGAAAGGCTGAGAGTTGGGGTTGTTCAGCCTGGAGAAGAGAAGGCTCCGGGGAGACCTTACGGTGGCCTTTCAGTATATAAAGGGGGGTTATAAGAAAGACTGAGCCCTACTCTCAGGTGCTGTTGTGACAGGACAAGGGGCAACGGTCTTAAACTGAAAGAGAGTAGGTTTAGATTGGGCATAAGGAAGACATTTTTTATGATGAGGATGGTGAGACACTGGCACAGGTTGCCCAGAGAAGTTGTGGATGCCCCATCATTGGAAGTGTTCAAGGTCAGGTTGGACGGGGCTTTGAGCAACCTGATGTGGTGAAAGATGTCCCTGCCCATGGTGGGAGGGTTGGACTAGATGATCTTTAACCCAACCATTCTATGATTCTGTGATCTTGTGAATAGGTGAGAGTTTAGATCTAATGAGGAGCTCTCCAGTCACCCCCATCACTTGGGTCAGATACGTTAACATATACCTTTCTAAAGAAAATATTTTTTTATGTTCTTAAAAATATTTCCCCTGTAGCAAGTGAAAGGTGATCAGAAAGATAAATTTCTTTGGCTTTGTTCTGAAAGCCTTGCAAAGGCTGGGTGTGTTTAAGCTGCTAATGACTTGGGGGAGAATGGGGAGGAGGCTTGTGTAGGTCATGCCCAGCTAATATATGACCATCAGTGCTTCTTTCCCCACAAAGCGCAAATGGAGGACACAGTGAATGTGGGGTAACAGGTGTGTAGTTTCTTTCTTTCTCCCTACTTCAATAAATCAAATCTTTAACTATACTGAGATGAAGAGGAGAGCAGAGGGGGAGCTAGGGCAGTGGGTTTCAGTAGCGTGCTGGAAGTCAGGGGACTTGGGTTCTTTTCCTTACTTCCCTACAGGTATGCCAAGTGACATTCTGTGCCGTAGTTGCCTCCTGTGTAAAATGTGTGTATTTACATGCAAAGCTGCTTTCAGAATTGGTTCTGGAGAGGAAATACTTGGACAAACTGGTAATGTTTCAGCGAGGTGTATTTGAAAGTGACATGATCCCTGTGCACTTGCCGACAACGTTCTTGTCCCTTTTTACTTTCTGTTTCGTTTCTTGTTTTCTTCCATTTTGTTGCAAAGTAAACCCTGCTTGTAGGAAACGGCGCAGGTACCAGAGAAGCAGCCGGAGGCACGTGACTGTTTCTTTCCCTCAGCTGCTTCTCCTCTGTCTTCTGTTTTGTGGCTTCATTTCCTCTGTCATTAGTGGAGTGTCAGTGAAAGGGAAAGATGGCTGTGAAGAGTTGCAGAAGGACTTTGTGACAGCGAGTGATTTGACTATAAAATAGCAGGTGAAAATCCAGCATTGATAAGTGGAAAATGATGCATGTGTCAGAGCAACAATCATAACGCTGATGCCTTATCTGATACCACTTAGGAAAGAGATCTGGGGGACTATGATACGTAGTTCTATGAAAGTGCCAGCTCCATGCTCAGAAGCACTCTAAAATGTGATTGAAATATTAGGCATTATTAAGAAAAGAAGAGAAGAATGCAGAACGCCATTGTGATTTTGCATTGTAAATGGTAGCCCACCGTTTTGAAGGTCGTTTGCTCCTCTTGGAACATAGCAGGAGTAGAGAAGAGATTGAGAAGTGACAGGGATGATCAAAGATGTGGAGCAGCTTCGGTACAAGGAACAACTAAATTGTTTCAGGTTCTTCAACTTGAAAAAGAGACAGTAGGAGAAAGAACAACGGATCTATGCTGTCACGAGTGTTACTGGAGGAGCTGAGTAAGGAACAACTTTCTTGCCTTTTCAGACAGATCCTGGGGTGTCAATTGGAATCCGTGAGCGGCAGGCTTAAGATCTGTGAAAACAAGGGGTTAAGTGAAATGTATTTGAATTATGGAACTGGAACCACGCCCTTAGCCATTCTCTTCTCACTTGAGAGCAGCCAGCCGGATCCATTGCCCTGCTTAGCTCAGTATCCTCTCCCTGGCAGTAATCTGTAGCAAAAAGCTAGGGAAGAGCACAGGGCCGAAGCAACACTCCTGTGGGGGGTAGGATACGGAGCTAAATGGGGCAGCGGGTGCAAGCTGGCTGCTTCTGCAGCGAGGAATGGCCAAGAGCTGTCCTTCCACCGCTTCAGGGTTCCTGCAGAGGTGCTGGAGTAACCCAAAAGCTGACCTTGACTTAGGGTTCTCTGTTCTCCTGCAGCACCAGGATTTCTCCCGAGCCTGTGAGAACACCAGGGACTGTATACTCCACCTTTAGCCTCTTCCTCACGAAATTCCCAGAGCCCCCAGAGCTGGATCCTCTGACTGGGCCTGAGCAGGGCCTATGTATCTGCATCGATTCCAGGTATTAGCTTGCTGCAGAGAACCTTTCCTGAGTTCTAGACCATTCAAACTCTAGCTTGTTCTGCTTTTTAATTTCTTTCTGTCTTTGTTTTCTATTCTATTTCTAATATTTCTATTTCTATACGTTTCTGTTTCTTTCTATCGTATTTATTTAATGCTTAAGTTCTGAGACTGATGTGATGATCGCGTATAGATGGATATTGGAAATCAGTCTCTACCCTACCTCGCTTACAAGAGATAGAAGGATGGGGGAAAAAAAACCCAGATGTGTGTGGAGGCGAAATGACTTGCTGTGATTAAGTAAATTCTCAGTGGCAGAGCCAGAGGAGAAAAAAAAATCCCCTTCTACTCTGGTGTTCTTCTCACTTGAGACTATCCCCTCTGTTTTATGGAAGGGAGGTGGGAACTAATGAAAACAGAGGTTGGCTGTTGAAAGCCACAGAAAGGTTGCAAGATTTGCTAGACTGTGAGATTTCCTGCCTGTTTTGTACTTGGACCTTACTGCCTCTCTCTCACTAGAATAATTTACCTTCAAATCTTCTTATTTCTTGAAAGTGAAAGCAGACTTTTCTTACCCTTATCCTACAGGAGTTTGTGCTGTCAGAGGTGACATCTCCAGCAAAGGGCAGTTTGGAGTATCACACCTACTAGGAGTGGGAAATCATTGAAGATTTCTGCGGTGGACTTGCACAGAAACTACAGACAAAGTAAAACTTCTGCTACTAATGTGTGGCATGATGCTTTAAACTACTGGTGGGGGATGTGGGTAAAGGCTTATCCAGAAGCATTTAGACTGTTTTGTGAAATAAGTAGCTGGCCTTAAAATTTTGCAGCTGCTGAGGGAAAAGAGAGACTGTGTGAAGAACAATTAAGACTTGAGTGGGTATGGCCAGAAAAAGAGAACAGGTGTCCATTGGGAAAATCCCAGGATACATGATAATATGTCACTCATGTTAGCGCTCCACCTCATTGAGAGGGAATGTTCAAATCTCTCATTTCTGACTCTGCCTTCTGCCCCTTTTTACTTGCTAGCCTCTCCACGCTTCTTTGCTACATCCTTTTTACAATAAGGAATTGGTGTTTCTTCCTTGTTTTCTGTGAACTCCTGGAAGGCACTGGAAAAGTCTGGGGACTCTCCTCGGTTGACTTGCAGACCCACATGTGGCAGAACTAGCTTAAGGAAAGCACTGCTATGAATGATTGACCTCCTCCAAATAAAAGGGGTTTCACATCTAGGGCATGACTTGCTGGCCCGCTCTTGGGCCTGTTGTTGGAGCACGTATTGCCGAGCAAGCTTGAAAACTCTCGTATTATCCCTTATGACTTGTTAGTGACTTTCCAAGAGGAAAGAAACCAGTTTTCCTCCTGCTCTAACTGCTGGAGCTCCTGGGAGCTGGTTTCCATCCCAGCGCTGGCCCAAGAGCAGGCTTTGCCTATTCTACTAGTAGTTGTTGCTGGCGGAGCAAAGCACCAAAGTTCAGGGGATGTAGGCGAAGGAGCAGTTAGAGGGCAAGTGCTAGCAAGCTCTGCTTTCCGCTATTCATCCTGCTTGGCGTATGATAGTTGCATCAATTGCTTTATGTTTTGTCCCAGTTTTCCTGCTCTAGGTGTTTTCCGGATAATGGCGAAGATGGTGAGAAGAACGTGTGCGTTTTGTTCAGAAGGGGAGGCTGGTTCTGTAATGTATATTGCCAAAGAGCGAAATATTGCAGCTCATCAGGATTGTCTGGTGAGTGGCTTTTAGTTGGTCGGTATCTAAGAGGAATGGAGAAGAAGGGCTAAAGGGGAAGTTTCCACTGCTTGTCTATTTTTGACTCTACAATGGTGTCTGAATGGTTAGTTACCCAAACCAGCAAGCTTATATTAGATTGAAAAGCTATGGAAAGCAACAGGGCTTGGCCAGAATTTTGGAGAGGGGGAGGAGGAGGACACGGCTGCACAGCTGGACACGTTGATTTGTGGTGTTTTCATGTGTGTCTGTTCCTGATCAATAGTTCTAGACATGCAGTCTAGCGGTAGGAATAGGCCTTCTTGAGACACTAAATTGAATGAGGCTTCTCAGACCACAGAAAGTTGTGTGCTTACTTAAACCTTTGCAGGAAAATATTCACATCACTTGGTATATCAAGGTAAAAAAACTTGCCAGTCTGTGCCTTATGTAAAATAAGGAATAAAAATAGCGGAAGTTGATTATGTAAAAATATCTGTGAAGCTCTAAGCGTGCTACAATCCTAGAATGTATTTACTCTTCTTGCTGTCAAAATGCCTTCCCTTTATTCTGGGATCTTGGTGTGCAGAATCAATTACAGATGCCATGTTTTCCCTTCAGTGAGGGTTGCTTAGTGCAGGAGATGGATCTGCTGCTGGAATAGCTTTCTGGCTTTCACTGTTCCAGCCTTCTTATTCTCGCAGGTTTTATGTTTACATCTTTATTTTTCTACTACTTTTTTTTTTTAGCAGAATGTTTCAGAAACATCTGATACCTATTTTAGAGTGTTACTTGGGTGTTTTGTTTGGTACAGGTTTTGTTAGAACTATAATGTTGCTACAATGTTGAAACTTTCTAGCTCTTTTTTTTTCTGTTGCGACAACTTTACTAATTTCCCTGCCTTCCGCTTCTCTGCGCTGTTTGGGTTTTTTGCAGTTAGCTATCACCTTCTGAGCAGACAGACTGTGCCTGCCAGTTGACATAAGGGTAGCTTGCTTTTGTTTGGAATTAGCTATATATAGTGATTAGAAAAAAGTTGCTAAGAACTTCCCCTTCCTCACTTATTGTCATAGCTCAGCACTTCTGTGGGAATTAAAGTGGCCCGAATGTGCACGTATACATTTTTTTTGTGGGTTTCTCCCCGGCTTTGTACGATGTTCCTGTGTTTCTCATGCAGTCAACTGTTGTCGGCATTGGACTGTGTGGAAACTTTATTACAGAGAAATGTTGCATCTAGCTGTAAGGCTGAAAAACTGGGCAGATAACAAGATGTTCAAGGTGTGGAGGTCCGTCAGCCGAAGAGCTTCTCCTCCTTCCTCTGGGTAGCCTGGACTTCCAGACTTTCTTCATTCACACTTCATACTAAGTTAACTTTCTCACCCTGTTATCTTTTCTTAGTTCACCTTCAGGTCATGTGAAATCTCCTATGTAGACAGAGGAACTTCTGACTGGGAAAAGGTTTAAGAACAGCTCCTTGTTCAGTGTAGGTGAAACCTCTTAAAAACACAGAGAAAAATCAGCCTTCTTAGGTAGGGCAAGTGCAAGAAGAAAAGATATACCCTTCCCCTCTTTTCTGCACTGGTGACTGAGTCCGTCTATTAATTCTTAATATCGCCTCTTTTGTCTTTAGTTATTTTCCTCAGGATTTGTGGAATCTGAAGAGTATAACCCAGATAATCTGGATATAAGGTTTGATGTGGCATCAGTGTTGAAAGAACTCAAGAGAGGAAAGCGGCTGGTAAGGAGTTTCTTTCTGAATCTGCACTTAGTCCTATCTCATAGTACTGAAGGTTGTCTGGCCTGTTTTATGCTTTAAAAAATGCAGAAGAGTACTTGGTCCTTCTGTTCTACTAAGATTAGGGAAATCACAGATTTAGAGTTAGAAACATTGTTTTGACATTATATTTGGTGAAATTTAGTTCACTTTGTATTAAAATGTGTTGGTTTTCCTTTCCCCACCTCCCCCAAGACAAAAGACTAAGAGACTAAGTCCTTAGTCTAAGTTTCCTAAGAGACTTTGGTAAAGGACTAAGCCAGTGCCTGCAACAAAATTATGCAAGTGTAAAGGGAAACACCTTCTGGTTTTAGCAGAAGGAAGGTTATTTGTATGAGGTTTTTCTTACTGGCTTTGTCCTCAGCTGCCCTCTTCCCTTACCTCCTGGGTGGAACTCTTTTCATTATGAAGTTAGCGTAGAAAACATAAATACAAGCACTAATACCAATAGGTATTGAAATAACTCGGGCAAGATTTAGGGGAAAGTTGCCCAGTGCCCCCACATAGCGCTCTGCATCATTTTACAAATTCATCAGTATGAAATAGAGTCAAAATAGCAAAAAAGTGGCTGAAATAATGACCAGGGTACGAGTTTGCAGGAGTGAACTTGCCTGATGAGTTATACAGAGGCAACTTGCAATGAAAGATTTGATTTTCCCACAGAGGATAGTATTTGCCTTCTGTGGCAAGATTTTCAGTAGCTGTCTGTAACGCTTACCTGCTAAACCTCATCCTGTTCCAGGTGTGCAACTTCTGTCGTAAGAAAGGAGCCACTGTGGGATGTGAGGAAAGAGCCTGTCGCAGAAGTTATCACTACTTTTGTGCACGCTGCGATGATGCAGCAATAGAAACTGATGAAGTAAATGGAGTCTACCGGTATCTAACCAAGTATTTTCTAACTAATTATTGTCAAAGTTTTGGTGGTGGTGTCAGGAAGAGAGACTTAAAAATTGTGTGGTTTTTAAAGTTTTTTAAAAAGGAGATATGTTCTCCTCTCTTAAAGTGATGCTTGATCCTCTGTTCCCAAGCAATAGGGGAAATGTTTTCCTTTCACAGGAAAACGTCACAGCAGTGGGAAGGAATCTATTCAGTGTTTGAGCCTGCAGCACACCTGAAAGATCACGAGGCCAAAACTGAGGAAGTCAGTCCTTACTGCCTATCTAGCTAGTCTTCAAGGACCAAGATTTTTATTAATGTCACTCAAGTTCTGTTGGTTTAGAAGCTTCAGTAAATGTGGTCTGAGCACAGAGCAGGCTATAGCACTTCTAGGTCTGTTCACATTAGGCAAATTCTGGTCATTTTCCCTCCATATGCCAGCAGAGAACTTTGTATTCCTGCCAAATACCTTCTTATATTTCAAGTACTTTGCTAGCATTAACACAATTAAACAGACTTCAAGTAAATTTTCTGTCCTGATCATGCTAGTCCTGGTTTCCGCTGCCCTCGGGCTGCCTGCGTTGCCATTAGATGGAACGAGTTGTTTGGAGGATACAGATGAAGGGGTTGAAAAATTGGGACTTTAGGGACCTTTTGGAGTGCTGAAGGTAAAGTCTGAGGTGCATAAAACCCCTGATATCCGTTTCTGTGCAAGGCCAGAGAGATCACAGGCCATGTTAGTCTTAGATTAACCTGGTAGACCATCTAATAACTACTTGTTTCAGGAAGACATGGACTAGTGCAATCTTCAGTAGTAGTGGAAGGTGGGTCCTTTTGTGTCAAAACACTTGCACTCCTGGCTGCTTCACTAGGGCGCTCAGTCCAAAATAAATACGTCTTCCTGCAAGGCTGTAAGCCCATCTGTATAGGGAAGATGATATGTTTAGTTTATGCTTATAAAGCCTTCAGGATTCATTTTTGTAGCTGGGAAGATGGAAACTTTCCATGATCACAGAGTAAATGGCTCTCATCATGTAGCTTTGTGACTTCAGCTTCTCAGGCTGAAGAAGACTGAACTTCTCAAGATGTTGAAAAATGAATGGGACTGATAACAGTCTACATACAAACTGGTAAAGAAGTGGTTGAATATATAGTATGATTTGGTGGTTTTCTGAGCTGGTGACCTTGGAGGTTTGGAAGAGGGACCCTTAAAAATGCCTTGTATTAAGTCACTGAGACTAGTTGCTTGTCCTATAAAGAAACACAGGAAACTAGGCTATAGCAACCTGTATTGAAGAGACGAAAAAGGACTGGGTTAGAGAAAGATGGTGAGGCGGGTTTCAGGGATTTGAACCCAAAGACTTTTGCACAGTACCAGTGACGTAAAGCACAAAATTTGTCGCTAGCCTGAAATTATTGGAGAGAAGACTAACAGGAATTGAAAAACAGTGGACGTGGATTGACGGCCCCCCGCACTTTTTCATGGTGAAATATAACATGCTGAAAAGCATATCAAAAGAGAGACTTCCTTCAAGAGAGAGAGAGATGGTGTTTTCAAATTCTGAGTTGCCATCGTTGTGATGATGAGCAGTGATTATCAAAACAAATAGAGCAGAACAAGAAAAGAGAAGGCATACAGTGCTATGGAAGTGGCTAGTAAGAGCAGAGGTGGGGAAAAAAGCGTAATTTGTACTGCCATCTTGCAAAAATGATAGTAGGGAAGTGCTTCCAAATAAAGTGGCTTGAGTAGTAAAAGGTATTGTCTGTTCTTTATAAGATGTTCTTGTACTTAGGAAGGTTGTTTTTAACTGGGACAGAATAGAATTAAAGGGAGGGGAGGAAAAAACCAACCTCCAAAGGGCAATAGAAATTCAGAGTTGTAAATAAGATGCCTCCAGTACTTAGCTTTCTGATTGAATTGTTAGGCATGCATAAATCTGTTTTTTTGTGCATCAAAATGAATTTCATGCAAAAAAGCTGGCTCGTCAAGGAAACAGACTGCGTTTCTAAGGTCAGTGCTTCTATTTTGTTAAAATAAAAGAATGACAATAATTAGAAAATGTCCTAGCAAATGCAGTTCCCTTTAAAAATTGCTTCCAAACACTTGAGCATTAGACTTGGCAAATAGATTTGTAATGAAGAGATCTGCCAAACCACACTCTTGACAAGGCAATTTTGCTTAAAAAGTGATTTGGGATCCTTCTGTAAGAAAGGCATATTATAGAAGCTGGTTCACATTCTCTACACATTATTGTGTCCAGAAGGTAAGGAATATTTCCAGCTGTATTTCTTGCATTTTGCCTCTTCCAAGGAATTCACATTGCTCTCCTAGAAAATATTCCCATCTCACATATTACTAAAGTCTTTAAGGCATGAATGGATTGAACAGCTTTAAGCTACTGGATCTCAAACGGGGTGCCCTACTTCCTCAGGATTTGGGGACCACCTCATCAGCACTGGGCAGTGGAAAGGGAGGGGCACAGAGGTCTCCAGGCAAGTAACCGGTACTGCGCATGGCGGTGCAGTGCCGTGTGGCTGTGCCAGCATGTCAGGCAGGGTTTATAAGTTGAAGCTGACTGGTAAGCAGATACATCTAAAGAGGTTCTGGACCTGGCCTGAGTTGTACAGGGCAAGGGGGCAGAACAGCAGCAGCTACAGTCAAGCAATATTAGTGCTGTGGTATTTCATCTTGACAGCATGAATCTCATTTTAATAAGGCATTTCAATAAGAGTACCTCTGCCACAGTGTTTGATCGCCACACCAGATGAAATGTGTCTGACTCAGGATTTAAACAGTGAGCAAGTCTAAACAGAGTGGGGTAATGGAACTGATAATTCAAAGCTTCAGTGTTCAGAGTCCACCGAGGCTCTAAAAGTACAAATACAAGCTTTAAGGCATGTGCATGTATGTGACTTTACAGCAGGCGCTTTCCTAGGTGGGAAAGGCTGAACAAAAATCCTCATAATTTTTTTAAGCGTCTTTCAGTTTACATTCAATGAAAAGAGGGGAAAATATCTGTTAAAATCCGTCAGCATAACTGTTTACATATTTATTAATACTTTTTCTCTTTTTCTTAAAATTGAACTTAAATTTTAGAGTGTTCTGCCCAAAACATGACCCAGGCAATAGGACCAACCACTATGGTGAGTTTCTTTAATGGCTTCGTTGATTTCATTTGTTTTAAAAGTTTGCATCCTACAGTCAATAACTCATTTGAACAAAATAAATGTTACTCCACCTTTATATCGAGTGGTGGATTTCTAATCGTGCAGGAGTGGTTTGGTTGAGATCCATGCATATGCACAAAAATTGAGAAGGTTTTTTGAAGTAGGAAATGTTTATATTTTCTCTTCTCCAAATCTCCCTCAAAACTGACTTAAAACACTGTGGACCTGATCCTTCATGGAATTATTCTGTGTGCGGGCAGGTAGGCCCAAGCAACTTGTAAAATCCATGTGAGGGATGAGAGCCACACTAACGAGTGATGTGCAAGCTTGCACTTGATTAGCAAAGAGAGTGCTGTTACAGGAATTGTCACCTTGGGATTTTTATCTGTAGTTACGTTAAAATGTTCATATTTGCATCTTCCATATTCACAGCAGTAGTTTTTTAAGTAGGGCCTTTCATTCTGAAGGATCCCAAAGAGCTTTTGAAGTGTAACAAAAGGGTTATACAACGCCTGTTTAAGAATTGCTTCCTTTGCTACAGAAATGCAGCTTAATTTGGCAGTCCTGGTCCTTGCTGATTCAGGGGTAGTCAGGAATCTCACTGAATTAACCAACCAAAGCTGTGACTTTTTTAACCTAATGCATACAACCCTGCTCAAAACGGAGTGAGTCCTAGACTGGCCTTCACTTTGAAGTTAAGCTCAATCGAACTGTGAGCACTAATGCTAAGAGTGGTGTGCTCCCACTGAAGTCTACCAAACTTTGGCTAATCTTCTTGACAAAGTCTGCCTCCACCCTGATGCCACTCAAGGGGTGGGTTAGGTGATTATCATTTAAACTTTCAGCCGTAGGGCCTGGGGCTTCTTAGCCAGACATACAGTCCGTTTAACCTCCTGATATTGCTGTGGTTCACTAAACAAATGCAGCTTCTTACTTCACGTAGTAGTTTTGCTTTTTACTTATCCATAGTTCTGAGGCCTGACATTCCCTCCCTTTTTAAAATTAATTTGATTTCTGTGGTCTAATGGTTGTTAGTTTGTTGGGTCTGTCCAGGGTCCCAGGTGGTCTCCGGCCCAAGTACTAGACAGGGCCAGGATTGCTTTGTTTCCAGTATGAGATGAGATTAAGGCATCAGGTCACCTCCTTCATAAGGAGGGCTTAAATCTTACAAGGTTGAAGGTTTTAGTGTCTTCAAGTGCTCCATATACAATGTATGGCCTGTTCCCTGAGAAGAGAGTTTTCTCCTGGAGGAGATCTTCCAGAGCCACTTAATTTGGAAACCCTCTGTTTATGAGGGGCAAATGGATTCTGCTGGCAGTGTCTGCCTTGCCTCCTGAATGAGCTTCTCCCACCTCTGTCTGAGAGAGTAGCTGTACCCCAGGAGGTGGGGCGCAGCTGTGAGAGTTGGGTAAATGACGCTTGGTTCCTCAAGCCCAATGTCTCCTGCCTCTGAGCAGCTCTCAGACGCATGCATGGCACTCAATAGCCAGGAGTTGCTGATTAGTTGGCTGAAGTAGCAGGTACTCTGGCCCACTCCTGGCCCATCTGGGCAGGCAGGGGACACGTGTGCTGAGGGTGCTTGCAGGTCCACACAGGGCAGGGAGCAAGACAGGCTGGGATGGAAGCGCTGTGGCTCCATGGTAGAGTTTTGACTTTCAGGATCCAACTCAGGTGAAGTAGCTCAGCCGTTCTCCTGGCACAGGCTGAGCCAGCGCTGGGCCATGTGAGAGCAGGAGCTGGTACAAAAGGGCTGCCTCTCAAGGCCTGTTTTCCCCAGTAGCTTAGAGAAAATGGGGTCAAGGAACACCCCCTTGTTCTTGGTCCAGACAACATTTCTGTGCTGAAATGTCAGGGCTCTGCTGTGTGATTGGAAGGGGATAGGGTGCCTTAGGGGCCAAGAGGTCTCCTTGCAGCTCTGTGCAGCAGGGATAGGATGGCAGTTTGGACTTGGAAACAGGCTCCAACCTCTGCTTAATTGGAAATGTTGGATGTGCCCAGAGTAGACTGACAAACATAGAAGAGCAGAGAACACTGTGGGGAGCAGGAAGAGTTGGGCTGCTCTTCGGGCTGTGTTCCTCTTGTTTTATAAGACATCCCTAAAGCAAACATCAGGAAGAGCTGAGAAAAATCCTACCACAGGTCAAAGATGTTGTGCTAGACAGCAAGGAACGCTGTACCTACACCAGCATCTCCTAGATTGCTCCAAATCAGGCCACCCAGCTCTATTTTGGATGAAGTAAGAGGCTATGATTTCCTTTCAGGCCATGACAAATGCAAATGTACAGCACCAGTACCCAAAACCCAAACTTGTTTCAACAGCCTTCCTGTACCAACAGTAACTCCTCCTTCCTCTTAATAGGATGATTTCTAACAGGAAAAACCTTACTAAGTGCTGCCCAAAGGATGTAAACAGGAAGGGGGCATATAACCCCACTGCGTTTAAAACCCTCAGGTTTTGGTGGGTGGCTGAACTCTTCTCTAGCTTTCTCTGCTTCTGCCATGTCTTCCTTGCCAGAGTTAGCCTTCTCTGCTTGTGATGCTGTAGCTATTTTCAGCAGCTGCCAGTTACGATGTTGGAGAGGGGCTGGTGCATGCTAATAGAAAGGACAGAGCGAAAGCAGATGATTTTGCGGAGATCTCATACTACGTCACTAAAACCACTTTGTAGCATAAATAATACTAAACTTACAAGTCAAATTGCTTCTGGAGGCTTTCTAGGAGGGTCGTTGTAATGATGAAAAACCTAACGCCATTTGCGTGTCTTTGGGACACCTGAAATAATTCTTTATGCAGTCTTAGTTTTGAGGCTGTATTAACATAAACAAGAATTGGCTGGAAAAAAACCAGTCATCTTTCATAAATTTGCCTGAAGTTTTTACCACTTAGAGGTAGTGCTGCTGCCAGGGAGAATAAGTTCACTCTGCCACAGTGAAAAATCTTATGTTAAAAACTGGGGTTTGATTTACTGAGGTAAAAGGCAAAGTGATACCCTAATGCTACAGTGATTTGCACTTCTTCCTAATGGTTCAGGCTTGTAATTTTTGTTACATGGAAATAATGTGAATTCCACTGAAATGTCAGGTATTTGGGGAAGCTGAAACATACTCTTGCCTTGCCACCTGAAGTGCCTCACTTCTGTAGCTTTTTGGGAAAAAGAATTTGAATAATGTGAAATCGTCAGTTTGAGGTTGACACATATTTGTTACTTTGTTGTTTCTTGATTCCTAGATGCAGCTAATAAGAGGAGAAGGCATGCACTGAAATCTTCTACCATCATGGAACAAATGGTAATTCTGAATTAAGTAGTTCTAAAACAGGAACCCACATCTGCTATAGCAAAGGACTTCATTAATGAAGTATTTTGGCAGTGTATTCAGAGAGAGACTTCCTCACAGAAGCAATAACTTTTCCTTTACATCTGCCTTGTTTTGATCTTGTCATTTTGTCAAAACAAAACTTTGCATTTGGAGCTGCTTCAGGCAGAGCCAATGCTGCCCTCAGGTAACACGGCACAAATGTGATAGGAACCTCCGAACCAGGCTGACTCGGTGGCTGTGATCTTAACCAGAAAAAGCTTCCCTTTGGGGGCTCCTTTTCTTTGGAAGTACTCAGATTTGCTTAGGGCTTGACTCAGTTTCCATGGAAAAACTGCTTTTGATGAGTCACTTGGCCTTTTAAACTGGCACTTACTCATTTGTGAGCCTGCGCTCGTGGTAAATGTGGCACATTTTCATTGCAGATCAGGTAGTGCTCAGCTCTGCCAGTGAAGATGGCCTTCCCAAGGGTTGGGGAGCTATCAAGCAGAGCATCCCGCTGGTTGGAGGGGGAGTTGTTTTAGAGGCTGTTGTTAAAATAAGCTGTATTTACAGGTTTTCCAAGTTTTGAGGTGATTCTCTTGGCTCCACAGAAGTATGCATGGGAACTCCCATTGACTCTTGGGGGGGGGGCGTGGGGGGGATTTCTCCTTTTGGGGGGGGGGGGGGGGGTGGGATTTCTCCTTTCTAGAGGGATTAGCATCCAGCTTTCCTTGGGGAAAAAATTCTGCCTTTTCCAAGTCTTGAGATTAAAGGGAGGTCATGTGAGGGGACATAGATGATCTTTGCAGCTTTTATGTAGTACTCTTATAAGGGTAGGTTATTTGTCTCCAAGAATTTCTCAGCTGTAAATCCACTTACGTTCCTGGTATTGTAACTGAGATTCATTTGACCTGTTACCCACGGTAATGTGCTGTTTCTGCTGCTCTCCAGTGCTAGCGATCTCGGAAATCAATACAAACACTGCAAATAAGAAGCTGAGGGGCTCCAGGATTTAGCACTGTGGGATAGTTTACCATTGAGTAAGCAATGCATTTTTACACCGGTGGAGTTCTGTGGCAGAGCTTAAGAATTATTTGTAGTACTGTGCTATGACGTGGAACAGCAGAGAATGACTAGTCCTGTCCAAAGGAAAAGAAAAATATTCCCTCACTCTTCTCAAATCCTTTCTAGTGTTACATCAGGTCTAGGGAGCTAAACATCATTTGCACTGGGAGTTAGAAGTAGGCATTTGTTAACATCTGTGCCATTTGCAAATGCAGTAATTAGGAGGGTGGTGTCCCAGGTGTCGGGCTTTTCTTAAAGAGTTTTTGCTTCGAAGCAATTTTTGCTTCCTTTCTTAAAAATGGAATGTCTGGAAAGGAATATCATTAGCTGTGCAGAGAAGCTGACTGTGTTCACAGAAGTATGGGCTGCTTTTTATCTTTCTGCTAATACAGAGGTAAGATAATGAAAACAAAGCAGTAAATGTCAGTATGATGTAAAAATATGTTGTTCTGATTTTTTTTACAGGGCGCAGAAGAGACAGCAGAAGAAAACGGTTTACGGATATTAAAAAGAAAAAACAACAGGCATAAAGGTGCGACTCACTTTATAGAACAGCTAGGGGATACTGTGATCTGTTACGTTGAAATTTAGAGCTTGGAGATGGTTGATAGCAGCGATGCTGCAAAGTTATCTTTATTATTCCCCCGAGACGAGTGACTCTCCAAGCTCTGGCAAGGGAGCGAAAGTCTGATTTGCAGAATGACTGTGCAGGTTTTAATAATTGTGTGGCAAACAAACCTCTGTGCTTTGGCCGAGACTTGCTGTGTGATGTGAACCGGTGAATTCACCTGGGAATGCCCCTGCTCTGGCTGGCTGCTGCGTTCAGCTGTGTGTCTCCAGCAAACAGGGGTGCCTCTGCCTGACTGCCCCCGCCTCCATATCAATACAGTTAAATGTAAAATGTAATAATTTCTTCTTCACCTCGGTCTCCTTGGGCTGAGCCCCTCTTGAAGGAGAAGGGTGCAGTTCTGCCAGGTGGTGCTCTGGAATGGGTTAGCAGACGAGGCGCTGTGAGGAGTGGGGGCTTGAGCCGTAACCCAGCAGTGAGAGAGGAGTTCAGCGCACCTTGAACAGGAGCTCTGGCTCACCGGGTAGGAATGGGACTTGCTAAACGCTGCTACAGTTACTGCTGCCAGCGCACGCTTACGTTATTTTGAACCCTAGATGTACATAGGGTACTTAGTGCAATGTAGTATTTTCCTGCATAAATATGGTATTACAACAGTGAAATCAACGACTGGACCCATCCTTCAGTTCTGCAGTTTTCATGTTACCCCAAAAGTCCTGCTGCGATTGCTTGTCGGGATTATGCTGTCACTTGGAAGTTTGGAAGGCGTTAATAGTGATTATTCACCTTCCATGGCTATGCGTAGTATATGGGCACGGTATTGTAACAGTAGGTGGCTGCCTAATGTTTTTTCTGAATTTTTACTACCACTATAAAGAACAGGGACCCTATAAAGAATCCTGAAATACTTGTAGGGCATCTAGTATAAGTGAAATGACATTTCTTTTCTCACAAATGTCTCCAGTAAAAAGTAACATTGTTTTTAATGGAGACTGGCAGACTTGTGTGAGCTGTCTGATAGTCCTTTCCTTTTGAACAGCCCATTGAACTGATCTTACTGAAACCTGTCACTGACCTGCTGCTCTGAGATGAAGAAAAAATAGGTAGTTATTTCCCTAGCAGTCCAAATCTGACAAAGTAGGTGTATAAAATGGGCTGTAATAAACAAGTTTAATGCCTGGATCACTTGGAGTAAAAATAGACTTAATTCTCTTACCAAATCCAATACTGATTCACTTCTTGCACTATTTTCTGTCCTTTAGCCTGTTCAGTCCATGGTGTGGTCCTGAGGACTGGAAGAAAAAAAAAAAGCAAGACAAAGCACTGGCTTTCCTATACTAGGGGGTATCAGGAGGCTTTAGGAATGGTGCATTTAGAGTTGTGGAGATATTTGCTTTTGACAAATGAAGCCAAATCTAGAGCTTAGGTAATTCTATACCCAGTGCAATGTTTACGTTTGCCTGACTACATTTTTGTTCCCACTGAAAAGGGCTGAATGGGTAGCTGGAGGAGCCACAGATTTGCATAAGTATTTGTTACTGGAAGAGGGACTTAAACCAAAGTCTTTGTTTCTGAAGCGGGCGAGTGAAGCCCATGCAGCTGTGGTCAGGATCACTTGTGTATAAGAGTGTGTGTTTTTATGTTTTAACAGTCCGAATAGACTTTCTTAGGAAATGCAAGCAAGCCGGGCTTCTGGATGACATATTTGAAGAAATGCTGGACACACTTCACCTGGCTCAGGAGAAACTGATGGATGACAACACTTCAGAAACAGGTATGGAGACCCATGGGGGACTCTGCTCTCAGAGCAGAAACGCTGATCTGAATGCCAGGCACTCGGCCCTGGGTCACCTTCCTGAGGATACTTCTGTAGTGCCAAATGACTGGGTCCTGTCTTATTTCTGCAGCTGCACAGCAGGTGGAGAGTGAGTATTTTTTGGTATACCCGTGTCAGCAGAGGGGAAGAGCTGCCAACTCAGCATGCTCTAGTAAGGCCTTCTAACTTCAAATTTTTGAAGCCACCTTTTACCCGTTGGCATAAGCATAGGTAGGTTCAGCCAGACCTCTTCTCCCAGGCACTGAAGAAGAGAGAGGTCCTGAAAAGAACCGGGAGGTTTTATTTGGATCATGAGTCTGTGTTGTTCTTACAGCTTCACAGAGGGACCAGCTATCTGTTAATATCAGCCCTCTCTTTTGAGGGAAAAATCCCCGAGTATGTACATTTTAAGTCTTTGGATGATTAGTTAGAACTTTAATGTCAACTGTTAGTGTGTATTTGGGGGTTTTATGGGTTTAATTATCAGCTTGTGTGAAGCACTTTGTTCTTGGAGCATTCCACTCTAATGCTGCTTTGTCCACAACACAGTTAAAAAAGAGAATTTCAAACCTTCCTCTCCTATTGTCCTCCTAGTTTTACAAAGTTATGAGTAATACCTTTGGATAAAGAATGCTAATTTATGCAAAGTAACTGAAGCACATGCATGGAAAGTGAAATGTCCCACCTGGCTAAATCTTCCTCGCGAGCAGCTTGCGTGTAACATGACAGCAGCTGCTAGAAGCAGTAATGAAGTCCAGGACACATTAGGGGTTCAAAGGTTTTCACCATTAAGCAAACCTCTTAGCGGTCATGCAAACTCTGTAGGTGTTTGTTTTGTTTCATTGGAAGCCTCAGTTATGAAACTGAGGCATAATTTTGGGCTGGTTTTTAACATCGAACAGCGATAGCACTGTCCCACCTGTCACATGGTCTGTCAAGAGGAATTGGTACGGTCAGTCCTGCCACTACACGTGCAGTCCTGACACGACTGTTCACGTGGTGCAGACCCAGAAAGGGAATTACAGGTAGGTCTCTTTTCCTATTTTCTGTATGAAACTAAAAAAAAAAAAAGAAAGTAGAATTGAGAAATTTATCCTTCTTTCTCAATATATGAGAAGGAAGATATCTTAAAACCTCAAGCAGTCGGTATGATATAAAATAAGTACTGTTTCGTGCTACTTCTAATGTAGGGCTCTGCATTAACACAAGGGTTCTGTAAACTTTTATTCAGTAATATTAAATCAAATTATCTTCTTTCTCCAGAGTATGAAGAGACGGTGATATCACTCTTTGACTGTGGACTGTTTGAAAATGTACTGACAAATATTCATTCAGGTATGTGAAAAAAGCTGTCAGAGCATAGAATCGTTTAGGTTGAAAAAGACCTTTAAGATCATTGAGTCCAATCGTTAACCTAGCACTGCCAAGTCCACCACTAAACCATGTCCCTAAGCGCCACGCCTACATGTCTTTTAAATACCTCCAGGGATGGTGACTCAACCACTTCCCTGGGCAGCCTCTTCCAGTGCTTGGGAACCCTTTCGGTGAAGAAATTTTTCCTCACATCCAATCTAAACCTCCCCTGGCGCAACTTGAGGCCGTTACCTCTCGTCCTTTCGCCAGTTACTTGGGAGAAGAGACCGACACCCACCTCGCTACAGCCTCCTTTCAGGTAGTTGTAGAGAGCGATGAGGTCTCCCCTCAGCCTCCTTTTCTCCAGGCTAAACA